GGCCAGCAGCCATGCCTACATTTTTCTCCAGGACTCCAGGGGCTGCCCATCAGTCCCACCTTTCTGATCAGGCCCCATTGATTGGCCCAGAGACACTGACTGGCATAAGAACTGACCAATCAGAACCAAATGTGGATGCTGTAAAGAACCAATGGTTACCTAGGAGGCAGAATTTTTTTTTAAAATATATTTTACTGATTTTTAACAGAGAGGAAGGAAGAGAGTTAGAGAGCTAGAAACCTTGATGAGAGAGAAATATCAGCCAGCTGCCTCTTGCACACCCCCTACCAGGGATGTGCCCGAAACCAATGTACATGCCCTTGACCGAAATCGAACCTGGGACCTTTCAGTCTGTGGACAATGCTCTACCACTGAGCCAAACCTGCTTCGGCAGGAGGCAGAACTTCTGATGCTGACTGGCATTAAAACCGACCAATCAGAACCAAATCTGGGTGCTATGGGGAGCCAATGGCTGCCTATGAGGTGGAGCTTTTGACACTGACTGGCATATAAACTGGCCAATCAGAACCAAATTGACCAGCAGAGGAGGGAAGTTGGGGTGAGATCATGCCTGCAGGAGAGGGCAATTGTTGGTGAGATCAGGCGAGCAGGAAAGGGAAGTTGGGGAAAAACAGGCCAGTAAGGGAGGACAGTTAGGGGTGATCAGGCAGGCAGGTGAGAAGTTAGGAGCCAGCAGTCCCAAATTGCTAGAGGGATGTCCAGCTGCTGGTTTAGGCCCAATCCCTGTGGGTCCCCAATTGAAGAGCGTGCAGGCTGGGCTGAGGGGAACCCACCCCCCCAATCCATGCATTTTTTTTATTAATATATTTTATTGATTTTTTTTACTGAGAGGAAGGGAGAGGGATAGAGAGTTAGAAACATTGATGAAAGAGAATCATCGATCAGCTGCCTCTTGCACACTCCCTATTGGGGATGTGCCCGCAACCAATGTACATGCCCTTGACCAGAATCGAACCCAGGACCTTTCAGTCTGCAGGCTGATGCTCTATCCACTGAGCCAAACCGGTTTTGTCCATGCACAAATTTTGTGCACTGGGCCTCTAGTAATAACATAAGAATAAATTGTTGTCAGTCCTTCTAGAGGGGCAAAACAAGTCCAGCTTTTAGGGGCAGCTGCTATGCCCAGGTCTGAGGGCCTTCATGCAGTGGAGTAAAAAGCATGATTGCATGATGCCCAGTATACACTCCTCAGAGAGAACCCAGCAGAAATCCCACTGAGGGTGCCTACGGATTAGTACAAATATATTTTGTATAAGTCTTCTTTACATGTCTCTTTGATTTGACCCAAAGTGAACTTATGAAACCTAATGTGAACGCCCAAACCATATTATTGTAATTGTTATTTTTTGTGCATTTCAGAATCGTTAACATTCAACAATTGAGCTCACAGGCAAAAGGTAAAACTGCAAGTAAATGCTTGGCCAATAACATCTTTTTGGAAACACACAGGGTCATATATTAAAACAAAGAACCTTTTAACAATTCCATAATAGAATGTGCTTACTTTTTGCAGGGAATGGATAAAGAAAAAAGGCTAGTATCTCTATTAGTTGTGTCCACTGCAGGGGCTAGCACAAATTAGGTTCCCAAAAGGTTTTAACCTTCCACTAAATAGCCTGCTCTCCCACTGGGTGCTGTCCTTCCTTACTGTCCACTTGGCCCTAGACCAGTGGTCGGCAAACTGTGGCTCACGAGCCACATGCCACTTGTAAGCCACGGTTTGCCGCTCTGTTGACTGAGTTTGCCAATCACTGACCTAGACTCTTGATTCCAATGAGTACAGGCTGATGTTGTTCCTTGTGATTAAGCCCCTATCCCAGTGGTTGGCAAACTCATTGCTCAACAGAGCAGCAAACTGCGGCTCATGAGCCACATATGGCTCACGAGCCATAGTTTGCCAACCACTGCCCTAGACCTATGACATCAAGCAATCTCCACACCAAATAACATTGCGAACCATAACAAAATTGCTCAGGTTCTCTAGAAAACAATGGCTTTCAGACTGAGTTGCCACATAGAAATTTGCTCTCAATAACGACTGACAGGTGACAGGCTGATAAACATGCACCAGGGAGGAGCCCAGAGGGGTGAAAGAAATCAGTCCCACTGATGTCAGGTCCCACTGTGGTGCCTAGTGATGTGTAAGATAGCAGTGTAAACTTAGCTATAGGAGTATAGATGCACTGGCTGATTCCCCATCTCGCCAAGGCTGGGCAAACCCCCTTGGGCCCAGCACATAGCTTGTAGACGGTTTTCATCTGTTTCAGGCTGTTTTGCTGATCTCCAGGAAAACACAAGTGGGTGATGACAATCAGAAGACACTCTAGCTAGCATTGGTCTGGTCACTTCCAGCAAGCATGTCTCCATACCCATCTATCTCAAAAGGGGCTGAGGCAAGATGATCTCTGACGCCTAACTTGGAAAGGTCCCATCTATTTTCCACAATGCATCCCAGTGCACCACACAATCAGAAAACTTGTTGCCTGCAGCAGGTGGGCAGATTTCAGGATGCGATTCTTCTGTCCTAGTTATACTCAAGCCTGGCAGTATCACTGCTCATCTTATCAGGATGTGAGTGATGGCTTTTCTCAGAACCCACTCAGGGCCTCATTACTTTTCTTAAGTTAAAGCTGGGTTAGGTCCAACTGGTGACCTAACCCAGCTTTAACTCTTGGCTTCCAAGGTCAACAGCTCTGCAAGTGCTCAGTGCACAGGTCCAGCCCTGGAACTCCCCTCACTCTCTCATGACCACTTTCTCAGCCACAACCACCACCAGTCACATCTTGGGAGAAAAACATTGCCAGTTCTCCACAACTGCTCTGATTTCTTTAAAAGGAATAGTATTTTCCAAGTGGAATTTGTTAACTAGAACTCAATTCATATTGGCTATTTACATTTTTTTTAAAATCATCAAAAGTTGTATACCTTGACCCAGATCCAGGTTTTGTTGGGCCTGATCAGGGATAATATGAAAGTGGGCACAGGGTCTTGGAGGGGGGCCCTGCAAGTGAGGACCCAAAGCTGAAGCTCTATTACCTTAACCACCTCACCCTTATTTAGAGACTTGAGTCCCAGTGGGAGCATTATGCTTGCTTTGCAGTGACATTATCTATCATTTATAAGAAGCATAGTATGGGAAAGAATATGAGTGACGAAGTCAGAAAGATCTGGGTTCAAATACCAGCTGTTTCTTTACTGTTCTGCTCTCCCGTCTGAATAAAAACAGGGGTAACAACACATCTTTCACATGCGTGTTGTGAAGATTACAGGTCTAGCGTGTTATATAACATGTGTGAAAGTATACTACTAATAGATGCCTGGTGCACAAAATTCATGCATGGGGAGGGGGGTGTCCCTCAGCCTGGCCTGCACCCTCTCCAATCTGGGATCCCTCTTGCAATCCAGAACCAATGTCTCCTAAGTTCTCACCTGCCTGCTCGCATGATGCCCCTAACTGCTCCCCTGCCAGCCTGATGGCCCTAACTGATCTCTCCTCCTGGCCTGATTCCCCTAACTGCCTAACTGCTCTCCCCTGCCGCCCAATCTCCCTAACTGCTTTCCCCTCCTTGTCTAATCCCCCCTAATTGCCTATCTGTTCTTCCCTCCTAGCCTGATCCCCCTAATTGCCCTTCCTCTCTGTGCCTTCAGACCCTGTTGCAGGAGTGCTGAGACTTACCCACCAAGGCCCCACCATGGCCTGCCCTGATGCCCCCCTCCAGGCTGGGTGGCAGGTGGGCCTGTGCACATCTCCATAGGTGGGGGAGGGCATACCTGGTGGCAGCCTCATGTCCCGGTGGTGCAGGTCCGCACCCTCACCCCTGCCTACCAGCTCCTGTGCACACACAGCCTGTTGAACAGTCGTGACTGGGACACCATTAGGACCAATTAGCATATTACCTCTTTATGTATATGGATTCACTCAGTAAATGATGGACCCAATCAATCGTTTCCATTAGGATTTGGTGTACATGACTGAAATCTACCTTGTACAAAGGCAACTTAGTTATTAACTTGGCAAACACTAATAGGCACAGATCATGCAAGTATATATTCACATTAGTATAAATGTAGAAAAACAAGATCCAAAATAAAATCAGACTTAGCCTAAACTAGTGGCTTACAATTTTTTTTACCTCAAGTACCAAAGGGACACAACCCAATCCAGATTTACAACAACTTGATACAGTGGCAATAGAAGAAGAGAGTACATACAATTTGCAAAGCTTTCAAGTGTTTTTTGCCTCCTAATGATACATGTTATTAAATATATACCCTCAAATATATATCCCAACACCTGGAACTCCCCCCTTCAGTCCCAGGTTAGAGTCACACAATTCACAATAATAATGGCAAAATATTGAATTTATTCAGTTGATTTGACCAATCATACTGGATAAAAGTGTTGGTTTCATTTGCATGATGTAAAAACATACTTTAAGTAGATATAGTCACATATTTTACAATATTAAAAATGTATATATGAAAGAGTCATGAAGGCATTTGATATAAAACATACATAGTATGCTATTTTATATACAAATGCTTAAAAGAAAATAGAATCATAAGAGTTACAAAAGTAGCATCAGTAAGAATTGACAAGTTTCCAGTTTTCATAAGGTCACATTCTCATCCGTTGGGATGTACAGAAATTATGTGGTTTACACAGTTTTATCCACATTCAAAACATCATGTTTTAAATGTTTAAGCATAGCATGTACAGTACAAAATGTTTCCATAGGAACATAACAGAACCCAGCACTAGTGGCCTGTTGTCAGATGGCTCCTCACTAATCAGTTAGCCATTTGCAAGACACTAGTTCAGCTTATTGCTACAATATTCAAGTTGCTCTATTCACCCAAATATAATGACTTTAATTTAAACTAGAATCTACTGACAAAAGCCCAAAGAGTTGGTGTATAATATACACTAATATATACAAAATTTAACAACTATTTAACAAGTATTTACATTTAACAACTACTCTGAGTTAAATGAAGTTCTCAGACTTAATTTAGAACCAAGAATAGTAATTTTAGGCTAATATATTATTTTTGTAATTGGTATTTTTAAAATTTTGAGCAAAGTGCACAGTTTATGAAATCAGTCACCAGAAATGATCCATCTAGGAACATTTAATTCCTCCCCTTGAGTCACCCCACCTGAGAAATGAGAACTGTCAGACCTGGCAGACAGGGCAGGTCCACAAATAAAACACCCAGGAGCCATGTGGAGTCACATTCATCAGTCGTGGGAGCCCACAATGCCAGCTAATAAACGGCACAGTTCACTAGACGAGTCCCTGTGTGAAATCAGCAGAACTAGCTTCCAGGAGCTTAAAGCTGAATATTAATTTAGAGCAAACGACAATCAGCCATACTCTAACGTTGGTGGGCCCCGGACAAGGTTGAAATAGCCGGCCAGGGCTCCAAGGTCTATGTAGAGAGAACGTTGTCTCTTTAGCATCTCTGATTCTTCAGTGCTTCCTGTGCATGAAGAATCTGAAAAGGGAAACATTGAAAAACTAAAATAAATGACCAGGAAACATGTTCAATAATACATAATTGTTCCTTCTACCAAAAAAAAAAAGTAACCAGGTTGGGCCAAATGAAATAGCAGTTAAGCCCTGGTTTTATTAAAGAGCTATAGAGTTGAACACCATGGGCTAATTTGTATCAGATTTCATACACAAAAGAGTTTTAAAAAAGAGTCAATACAGCAAGAAATTAACTAGAATTCCTGGCATGTTTTCCAATATCCTAGATGATACATTTTAAATATGGAAAAAGTCAGACAAGAAGCAGAAAGGCAAACAAGCATTCCAGGCTTGACATCTGGATTTGGATCTAATAATAGTAAAAATGATACAGATTTTAATAACAAAAATAGAAACTTTGCTCCACCCACATTCAATGCTCCTGTAATATGTATGGATTTCCCTAAGTGGGAAAGATTCATAGCTGACAAAAAGATTTTAAGCACTAAGCACAGGAAGAAAGAAAGGCAAATTGACTTCACACTCAGGATTTTATGTGGGCAGAGCAGGGCCATGATGTTAAGCAAGGACTGGTGTGGCTTACCAGAACTCAACTTAAAAGAACCCCACTCTTTACCAGCTGCAAAACTATCATGCCTGATTTGCTTTTAAAGGCATATGATATTCTCTGTTGCAAAAAAAGCATGTTAAAGGCACTTCACAATAACTGTGTTGCCAACTTTTGCACTAAAAACCTGTTATAGCTTGCTCGTAAATTAGCCATTTTTTTAGATGCTTTTGCTAACATTCTTCCTGAAATTTCTCAAACAATTCATGGCACTCAATAAATCATTTTTTTTCAAGTGCTTTCATCAGTTCATTCAGTGGTGTGATGTAGACAAAAAGGAGGGAAGCCAGAGGTAGTTCCACAACAGGGTGTCTATACCTGCAATGTTCTCAGGAAGTTCCAACTCCTTCCTGCTCAGCAGCCTCTTCCGCTCAAAGAGGGCAGAATCCAGGCTCTGACAGCGTGGCTGGTCCTCTCTGGGAGGGTTCAGGGCCTCGTGTTTTAGTAGGTCAGCTGCCCTCGGGCGATGATTGGGGTTCCTCTCCAGGGCAGCTTCTATTAGCTCCCTCATGCCGGGACTGCAGTCATCAGCAATATCCTCTAATGGAGGGGCCTGTTTGTGGATCTATCAATAAACCAGCCATCTTAGCATCAATATATGAAAACATACTCTCAATAGGAAAAGTATTCTAGTAACATAACCTGGGAAGTCACTGGTTTCCTACCTGCAGCAAATACAATTCATATCCTAAAACAAGTTGCCCTTTAATTTCCTAAGGACACTAAATTAAACCCATCTTTTGGTTCAGTGCAAAGATACAAGCTGAATTCGAATAAACAGTGGCAGCTTTAAACCCTGAGTGGCCAGATTATTATGATCTCTGAATGCATAATAATCTGGCCATTCAGTGTATATCCTATATACACAATGTATATCCTATATTCATTCAGTGAATGAATTCATGCATGGGTGGGGTCTAGCAAGTCAGGCCAGGGGAAGGGGTCATGGGCGGTTTGTCGGCCTGCCTGCTGCTGGTCGAACTCCTGGTTGAGGGGACAATTTGCATATTAGCCTTTTATATATATAGACTAGTCACCCTGTGCACAAATTAGTGTGCCAGTAGCTCTCTGCTGCCCTCCAATAGCTCTCTGCCCACTTCCCCGCCCTCCAGTAGCTCCCCCATCACCCCTGTTCCCCGTCATAGCTGCTGCCCTGCCCCCTCCTGTAGCTCTCGCCACCAGCTTGTAGCTCACTGCTCCACCCTCCTGCTGATCCGTGATCCAGTAGTTACAAGGTCAGTCTTTACGCTTCACAGAGTAACAACCATTTGCATATTACATCTTTATTATATAGGATGTCTAACAGAATAGCATATAATGAATGCCCAATGTACATTTTAGTGAGTTCCCACTAAAATAGCAATGCCTTCTTTGTAAGAATGGGGCTTTCTCATTGGGTCATAGCTCACTCCCAACCACTCAGAAAGGAGTGCAGCACTCCTGAACAGGTGGAAACCAGCCCAGTGCAGCCCTCATTGACCCCCCCACTTACTATATACAGGTAGGAGGGATAAGCTGAGCGAGGGTAGCGCTTCACCCAGGGTGGAGTGCCTGTCTGCATGTGGATTAGCGTGGCCCCCAGGCTATAGATGTCGGCTTTGGTTGAATGGCCCCTGCACAGGATCACCTCTGGGCTCATGTAAATCTGAAGAAAAAAAAAAAAAAAAGCAGAAAAAATCAGTCTCACATCCCTCGCTCATCTGGGTTTCCATTTCCCTAATCCAGTTCTGGAAGCTGGCTCTTCCACTGCTACCATATCTACTGCACGCTTCATCCCTTCATGAGAGCGCCATTGCCATGTCCCATGAGCTAAAGAGAGTAACAGCCACCTGCGGCCTGGTTCATCGAAGTTCTGAAAGGCACTGATGCATGTTTCTGCTAAAACAATAGTTCCTTTCATATTTAAATGAACACTACAAATATTCTTCTACACCTAATGTTTGTCACTAAGTTGCAGTAATAAAATTTAAATAATAAAAGTCGGCAAAGTCCACATGATATAAACACTGATCACCTGAAAGAGAATTTTTTAAAAGTGCAGTGTTTTAAATGTGATCCTAACTAGTCATTTCTATGAGCTAATTATTATTTCTACCTCCCACGGAGCTCAGTGACAAACACTCAAGGCCTTGCTAACACTGTGAAAGTTCAATGTGGTTTCATGAGTTGCTGCTGGGAAAGTAGGACTTGGTTTATAAATAGCTCCTCTAAGCAGTGTTTGTTTCTAAACCTGAAAAAGAGAAAACAAGAGCAAATACTGGTGTGCAATGATCTGGATTTGTGGCTGGTCCAGGCATATCCTAGTTAATAAGATTTAACTCTTAAGTAATTTTTATAGTGTCTGTTATTTGAATATTGAGGAGGGGGTAAGTGTTCCCAGAATACATTTCAGAATAAAGAAGAAAAGAACTGGCTTAAAAAAAAAAAAAAAAAAGAAGAAGAAGAAATTGACCAGTTTCCTCATCTAAACGCTGCTCAACTTCTTACTACAACACATTTCTGAGCTGGTTTGCTTTTCAACTATCATCTATCTATCTATCTATCTATCTATCTATCTATCTATCATTTATCTGTCTCTCGATCCTTCCTGCCTTCCCTCCCTCCTTCCCTTTCAGCAAACTGGCCAACCAAACTCCTTGTTCTCAAACTTCCCCTGAAGCAAAAACAGATCCTAAAAGACTTTCTTACTAAATATAATCACAAAGTTATACAATAAATGCAGTGGTGAGAATTAACTGTCAGTAGGAGATGCCCACTTCCTCCCTGCAGACTCCATGTGACTATACATTTGGGGACAGCAGTATCCTGTCCACCCAGTGACTTGGCTGCAACCCCTCAGGCAGATTTCTCAGAGCTACATGGCTCAGTGGCTCAGAGCACCTGCTTTCTCAAGTTCTGTAAGAGCCAGGACAGCAAGGTCAGGTGATCAAAGACTCTGCAGACTTGCTGGCTGAAGACATGAAACAGGCCAGGTGGGACCTGGGTGAGGCTCACTGAGTGGCAGGCCCTCAGGCTTGGGCGCTGACACAAAGGAACCGAGGTGTCATGTCAGGAGTTAAGGCACTCACTTCTCAGCACATTTATTACTGAGGAAAAGAGACGTGTGTGTGTGTGTGTGTCCACGCATATGATGATTACATATTAACTTACATAAAGACCAAGCACCAAATGAGAAGAAAATAAATTTTTTTTAAAGTACCATGCTGTAAGTGATTCTAATTAGCTATTTATATTCATTATTTATTCTTTCTCTGCATGGTGTAATTAAAAACAATAAATTGAACATATACCCTGTATACAGGGGTGGGCAAAAGTAAGCTTATAGTTGTAACACAAATAAATATTATAATAATGAATAAATAATAATACAAGAATTCTGTGTTTCACGTACTCACAGCTATAAACCTGCTTTTTTCCCCACCCCTGTATGTATTATGTGGTTACAATATAATGTTCTGAATGTAAATGTTAGAGGGGGGGTATCAAACACAGGTGACCAGTGTCTGCATTGAGGAACTATGTACAGGTAGAAGGGACAGGCCGATCAAGGGAGCGCTTCACCCAGGGTGGGGCGCCTGTCTGCATATATTGCAGGAATAAAAAATCATGTTCAGCTCTGAAGTCACCAAGTGAACAAATTCTAACAAGAGCAAATGTGCATGCTTGACTTTGATGCACTACTCCTTATTGGCTCTTTAGTATGAGGCTAAAAACAAACTTCCTGAAAGATTTCACTGGTGACATCACAAACTTACTCACTGTTAAATTTCCGCTCCTGAGTATCATATAGTTATTGAAATACAGGTTGATTATAACTATAAACACTAAACACTAAAGCCAGCTTAGTAATTCATAAAAAACAATTTACATTTGGAGAAAATAACTTAACCCATATACTGTTTAGGAGTGAACACTATGTTATTATCTTATACTCAGACACACATCGTTTTTCTGCTAGACTAGAGAATCCCAGAAAGGGCCTGTTTTCCTCCAGACAACGCAAAATGTTCAATTTGATCACACTGCCAGGAAGAAAAAGGTGTTTTCCATCTTAAATACCATAAATAGTTTGTTTCTCAAGCTGGTTCCAGGAAAAATGGTACACTGTCACATATCTAAACTTCTGACTAATGCAAAATATGCTGGAAACTCTCTCCCCTTAAAAAAAATGTCTAAGTAGTAAGTCTTAGATTTTGTGCTTTTTCTTAAGAAGTATTCTTAAGACCTGTGACTAAAATATTTAAAAAGTGTGCAGTTTTCTCCTCTGAATATTATTCTGCTCAAAGATGACTATCAAGATTTTTTTCTCAAATCTTTTCCAGAATAACTTCAGTAATATCAGCCAAAACAAGCCTTTCTTCTGCTGCTCAGGAGAATCTTTGCTCTAAGAATAAAAAAGGCTTACAAAATCACGTTTTGAAATAAATATTTATTTATTTTTTTGCATTGCAACCGAGTTCAGTGCAACCAATATACCTACCAGCTAGACTATGAGTTGTTATTTGGTTGAATAAAGACTAACCTGGTAATCTTGAGGTAAAGAGGCAGCCAAGAGCCCTCTCTCCATTTTCTGGGGGCACTTCCAATAGAGAGAAGGGCATTGGGCTGGGTGGCTGATAGTTAAGCACCTACCATAGTGGACAGCGGTGAAAGAGGCAACTACTATTACCATTTACCTTCCCAGTTTTATCCTACATTGTCCATCATATGCAAAAATGAACTCTTTGATCTGTTAATAATTCAGGTCAATTTAACATAGCTTCTTTAATCAAAAAGTACCACTAAGTGCATGATCCTTAATGACCTTGTCCCATGTTTCATCCCTGGTACCTACAATGGCCTGCCATACAAAAGATGCTCAGGAGGCACTCACTACATGAATCAACTATTCAGTTTAACAATGTGAATGTTAAATTAATATATTATTTGAAAGCTCATGAATGCATTTCTCTGAATGGTATTTAGATTCAAGAAAGTTTTGTTTTGGTTTTGCTTTATTTTTCTTCACAAATATAAGTATTATTACTAGTTTATATCTTCAATAAGATTTATTTATGCTATAATAAATAAGATTTATTATAGGATCCCTATGATTAAAGTTTGGCCTACAACGTTGTCAGTTCTTAATATTATCAATGACCATAAAAATGATGGCTGAAAATGAACCAAATCAATATTATTAGTTAAACTAAGAATATATATATACATATATATATGTTATATTAAAAAGTTATACAGTGGTTATATCTTAGATTTTAGACTCAGAAAAAAATTGGATTCAAGTTCCAGATCTTTAGGTAGCTGAGAAGCTTTGGGCACTTGATTTTTATCTCTTTAATCTTATTTCCTTATTGCAAAATGGGAATCATAATAATATTTGCCTATAATAATAGTGTTTACCAATAATAGGATTGTTGTGAGAATTAAAAAATATAATTCATTTAAAGTGCTAAAATAAGTACTTGGCACAGAAAAACTACTCACTAAATACATTCCAATGATGATAAAAATTTAATGCAATGGTTTTTCTAACATTTTTTGTCCTTTCTGCAGTAATGATAGACATTCTTTTTTATTTTTACTCTTAATAAGATATCAGTCATTCTTGTGAGAATATAATCATACCTCTGTTCCACGGAGGTCCTTAGGAAAATAGATCTCTTCAGTCATTTGAACACTTAGGCCAAAATCTACCAAAACGGCTTTTGTAGACATGAAAACAATGTTGCTAGCTATAAAGAAAGGAAAATGTTTAGTAAATAAAATGAAAGCATTATCTAAAACAAGTCCCAAATTAGAATAGATTAAAATATTTTCCCTTCTGAAATGGAGGTAATATATTCAAAAGAGAAGGCTGAGAGTAGGTAAAAATCACTTCAAGTCTGTCAAGAATTCAGCCCATATGGACGTAAATGATTGCAGCCACTAATAATGTTAAAGGCACAACAACCAAGACATAGAAACAAACTAAGACCGAAGCATGGATGCATGGAACAGACTGACATACCTAAATGTGGGGGTGGGGTGGGGGGACAAGGAGATATAAACCAAAGAACTTATATACTTATATGCATAGCCCATGTACACGGACAATAATAGGGTCCTGAAGAGCTGAGGGGGAGAGGTGTTAGGCAGGGGGAAATGAAGTGGGGTGGGGGGGGGGGGAGGAATGGGAGACATCTGTAATTCTGTCAACAGTAAAAAAAATATTAAAAAAAATAAAATGTGATATACAGTGTCTGTGTGTGTGTGTGTGTGTGTGTGTGTGTGTGTGTGTGTGTGATGGAATATTATTCAGACATAAAAAAGAAGGAAATCTTGCCATTTGTGACAATCTGGATGGACTTTGAGAGCATTATATGCTAAATAAAATAAGTCAGACCGAAAAAGACAAATATTATGTGATCTCACTTATATGTGGAGTCTAAAAAACCAAACTCATAAAAACAGAATAGACTAGTGACTACCGGAGCCAGTGGGTGGGGAAAATGAGTGAATGTGGCCAAAGGATAAAACTTCAGTTATAAGATGAATAAGTCTTGGGGATGTAACATATAACATCATAACTATAGTTAACAACACCATATTGTATATTGGAAAGTTGCTAAAAGGGGTAGATTTTAAAAGTTCTCACCACCAAAAAATAATTATAACTACCTGAGGTGATGAATGTGATAACTGGTCTAATTGTGGTAATCATTTTGTAATATATATATATATATATATATATATATATATATATATATATATATAATCATTACATTAAACTTACACAATGCTATATGTCAATTATATATCAATAAAGCTAAAAAAACACATTAATGCTCAAGAGCTTGCATTCCCAATTCTATGATATAAACATACTATTATTAAGCCACTTTCTAAAAAAATAAGTAAATTTCCTTTTTTCCCCCAGTAAAAGTACTGCCACTCCTATTTATCATTAGATATTAAGGATCCATAGTGGGTCTCTCTTGTTGTTTTCTCCTCACCTTACCCCTAGAAAGCAGTCAATAAAGGCTCATTGAATGAACTATTGCCAAATTGATGTTTAAAACTTAAAAGCTACTTGTTTCTCAATAAGATGTGGCTGTATGTGTGTGTGTTTTTTAAGTAAATTGGTATTTTAAAAGCCAGAGGCAGTACTTAATAGAAGTGTGGTTCTAGTCTTTTCCACAATTGGATAATCACCCTTCCTATGACACTGAAAGTTCCCTCTCTTGATTCTCAAAGGTGTTCAGAAGCACAGTGAAGGGCAAGGTGCTCCAAGGGAGCTGTGTGCCCTGCCCTGCCATTAAGACTCCTGAGAGTGAAGGAAAGAGCCCATTTGCCTCCTAACTGGTCTCATGAAGCTGAAAAGAAACATATCCAAGGATAACTCACGTTTAATATCATGGTGAATCACTTTCTTTGAGTGCAGAAAATCAAGTCCCTTGAGAACATGCTTTGTCACCCAAATAATTTCAAATTCTCTCATTGGTCCACAGCTCTCCAGTTTCTCCAGAACAGACCCTCCCTCGCCTGCTTCCATGAAGAGATGGACAGTTTCATCCCATAGGACTGCGCCATATAACTCAGCAATGTTTTCATGCCGGAAGCAAGCCTGGATTTCCACATCAGATGGCTTAAATTGATCTACTGGGATCTAAAACACAAAAATGCCAGTAAGATTCTGAACAACCCCAGGACAGTGAAAATATATATATAAAGTTGGCTCTCCATATCAGCAGATTCTGCACCCACTGATACGGAGATTCATCTAAAGAATGTGAGCATCTGAGGATTTTGGTATTTTGGGGGTTTCCTAGAACCAATACATTCAGATGCCAAGAGATGACAGTAATTTAGGTCAACCCACAGATCAAAGACAAATCAATGCCCTCAGGGATACCCTGATCTGCATAAAATTGTACTGCTTAGTTAAAATAAGGTTGACTTGAGATCTGACTTTACATTATATCAGCTCTAGGTAAGCAATTCAAAATAAGAAAATAAAAAGCACAAGAATGTATAAGTTATTATTTTCATTTAGAGTATAGAAATCCAATCAAAGAAACATTTATGATTGAATTAAAATAGCTAATTTCTTATCTATTATATACTAGAGCCTGGCGCACAAAATTTGTGCATGGGTAAGGTCCCTGAGCCTGGCCTGCAATCAGGGCCATCTTCCCCAGCTGCCTGCAGTTGGCCCCATCCCCACCACCACCATCACCCCCAGTTCCCTGTTCACCATTCGGTGATTGGTTCTTGATGGCCGGGGGTGGGGGGTAAGGGGGAAGAAACTGAGATATTGGCTGTTCCTGCCTACTCCCCTGCCCTGCCCTCTGCCTTGCCCCCGCCGTGGGTGGTCATCAGGCAATCAGAGCCTGCCAGTCGGGGAAAGAAACCAAGAGGTGGTCATTGTGCCTCATAGTGACTGGTCCAGCGGTTGTTCCAGTCATTCTGCCGTTGTTCCAGTCATTCTGCCGTTAGGGTCAATTTGCATATTACCCTTTTATTATATAGGATGTAATTTCAATAGCACTTAGATTTTAGTCATATTTTCAATATTTCATGTCATAAAATAATATGTCTTTGGTTTATAGCTCATGCTTTAACAATGCATTTAATATAAGCACTAAACATCCATTCTATAGAAAATCAAGTCATTAATAAAGAAAGAAGTAAATCTTTCAGTTCAGACAGGTGTGACATGTCTCCAAAATATAGTGTTAGAGGAGGAAAACAAGACACAGAAGTACATATATTATGTCTCCATTTGTCAAAATTAAAAAAAAAATTAACTATACAAGCATAAGTCCATAGACACTTTCTGGAAGGGTATGTAAGAACCCATTAACATTAGTTCCTTCAAGAAAAGGGACCTCATTTATTAAGCTTACCCTCTTCTAAATCTGTCTGGGGTTGTTAATCATCTTATATGTTTTTATTTTTTAAGAAAAAATATATAGTTTAAAAATTAAATATAAGTATTAATAAGGAAAGCAATTCCACAAAGCTATTTTCCCATGCCTTTTATGATGAAACTGAAACATAGGACATTTTGGTTCTAAGATCTTTATGTCACCACATGCTTTTAAAAGAACATGAATATATCCTCTCTAATTGCAAGCTTCAAGTGGCTTATTATGACACCTGTTGTTTTTCCTTCTAACACCAGATATTCTACCAAATCTTTATGAAGGAACAAATAAAGCTAACATATTGTCAGTCTTTTAGTTATGATAACAGAGATTGAGATGATATTCAGTAATTATTTATTTTATTTTTGTTAAAACAAGTGAGTTTATTTTATTGCAATATATTTTATATATTTTAAAATAAGACAGACATACATAAAAGTGTAAAACTAGTTAAGTACTAAACTCAATGCTTTATTAGCTGAACACACCCATATAACCAACATCTAGATGAAGAAACAAAATTACAGAATTCTCTCAGCACCCAGAAACTCCTTTGGACCCCTCCAGTTACTGCTCCTCAAAAGAGCCCACTAACCTCATTTCCAACAGCATAGATTCAGTGAGCCTATTTTTTGGCCTTTATATAAGTAAAATCTCATACGGTAGATCATATTTTGTGTCTGGCTGGTTTAGTACAACATAATGATTATGAGATTCATCTACTTTATTATCATTGTAAGTCATTTATTTTCTTGGCTATTCAACATTCCATTGTGTCAATATACCATATTTCAGCAACTGGAAACTTTCCAGTTTGGGATGGTTACAAATAGTGCTGCCATGAACATTCTAGTACATAGTTTTTGGTGACCACATGCCTATCAGTAGAACTGCTGGGCCATCAGGCTTGTGCATGTTCAGCTTAGGTAGATACTGCCAAACACTCTTCCACACTGGGGGCACCTCACCAATAACTGGTTAATAAGAAGAGATGGGATCTTTTCAAGAATGGCCTATTTAAGTTCAGCCCTTTAATCGGCAGTCCTGGGAAGCCTTTCCCAGCTTCTGCTTCCCTGCCTGGTCCGCTCCCCAGGGGGTGGATTAAAGGAGCAGCACAAGGATCTGCTCTGCAGGAGAGCTCCCCTCTGCTCCAGCCCACCACAAGAGAGATTACGTTATCCAAACTGGTGTTCAATTAGCCAGCACTTTCTTTTTTTAATCATGGCAAACTACATTAAAGTCAACTATGTACTTGGACAGATTTAGGGGCTGAACAGCCCCAGGAGCAAGCAAATCCATAAAATACAGATGCTTTTGAATAGGGCAACCTTAGACAGGATCCAGTCAAAGGCTAACAAGTTTTGAATAAAGCAATGCAGTTCACTCTGCCTGGTTATAAAGAACATACCAGTTTGCATGCCATTCTTTTTTTAGTTTTTATATCTTGCGCTAAGTACACTTTTCCAAAGGCCCCCCGAGGAATGAAATCGGAGCCAATATTCCTGTACGTCAGCTTCCAGGGGATGAGGAGAACATCAGAGTCTATTTGATAGCGTCCATTTTCGGGAGTGATTACCTACAATAAATAAAAATGTGGTAAGGTGAGAATTCCAGCAAAATCCTCTTCTAAGACCAGCCCTTTAAAAACAGTTTACTTTAGGTTGCATTCCTCCATGTATTGCCACTGTGTGTAATCCTAACATTATACAGACTATATTTAGAGGTTTAGCCAAGACAGAGAAAGCATGTAACAGAAACACATCCATCCCTGGTCAGACCTGATCAGATTTCCATCTACTGGGGAGACATTCATTGCCAAATAGAATTTTAAAAATAATTTATCTAAGGGAGCATGACTACTGTGTCCAAGAGGCTGAAAATAAAGATTGCATAAATATAAACTGTGCCAGCAAGTTGACTTGCTCCCCATTAAAATATACTAACCTGTTAGTCCACATAGCTATTACTCAGACATGATGCATATAGAGAGAGTGTGGAAATAAACTGATGATCATGGAAGATTCTGGAAAACAATGTGTTATGCCAGAGCTATGAGTTGACAGTGCTACCTAAATAAAGTAAGGGCGGAATTATTTCTCATCTACTTACTCATTTAATATTTATTGAGTGCACAGTATGTGCCAGGCACAGTATTTGGAGCTGAGGGGGCTGCTGTGCAAGAGATAGATGATCCCTAACCTCCAAGAGTTCAGGACAAGAGATTCTGAAACCAGTCCACTCAAATTCAGAGATATGGTCTGACAGTGGTGTTGGTTACAAGTGTGTGCATTTATCAAAACTCATCAGACTACACACTTAAGATCTGTGTGTTTTACTGCATATAAAGTCTATCTTGATTTTGAAAGAGTAAACAAATAAAAAGAAAAATAATTAAAATTAAAACAAATTAATAAGGCAGTGCACAGGAGCTGACCTGGAGTACAGGCCTAAAAAACATCACTAAAGTGTTCTTTCAAGAGATAAAGTGTCTCAAAAATACAAGTTTTTCTTGTAAGTATAATTAGTAATGATATGACTGCAGATTATGAATTTGGGAATTATGAAACCATCAAGGCAACATCTAGTTATTTCATGTACAGACAAAGCAAAGGGGAACTGCAGAGCAAAGGAGGAAGAATGGACACCTGATTCATGTGCAGATGCAGGAGGCTCCTCACAGGCCTCCACTCCGGGGATGGTTCTAGTAACCGTAAAGGCTATTCACTCAGTCTCCACTATTGCTAAGCTTAGCCGCACAGTCCACAAGCAGACGTGCTCGTTATTAGTCAGGGAATGAAACAGAACTCTAACATTTAGAAATGTGAAGTCAGTAAATTAAAAAATTAAATATTTACTGAGCATGTCCTCTGTGTAGGATTCTGTGCAGAGCTCCAGGGAAATGACTAAGGACAGACCACAGGCTTGGCTTGTTTGAAATATGACCTCCTTTCAAGAAGTGTGTCACCTCAAGTTACTGGGGGGTCTCTTTTTACAGCAAAGAACGTGATGAATCCAGTCGCCTTCCACATTTAGACAGAACCATGCTCACTGCATTCAATCATACTTGAATACTGCCTTTCTTGCCATTAAATATTTACACTGTAGCCTCTCAGTCATCCACTTCAGTGTTTAATTCACTTTTGTGAAAGCTTTACTTTTGTTTAACCAAAATTTGTTTTAATACAATGTGACCCAGTGTTTGTTATTCTATCCAAGAGGACAAAAAAATAATAAGAGCAGCCATATATTGAGTGCTCATTGTCAGCTAGGCAGTGTGCTCAGTACTTGAACATTACCTCATCCAAGTCTCACAACAGTCCTACGCAGTGAGTACTATTTTTATCTCCAGTTTACAGATGAGAAAACTAGCTTCAGAGGTTAAGTAACTCACTAGTTAGTGACAGAGTCAGGATTCAAACTTGGGGCTGTCTGCCCCTAAAGTCACCACTCCTAGTCTTTGGATGACAGCCTTTTATCTTCCAGGAAGCTATAATTAAAGCTGAGCCATGATCAAAACCCAGTTATTAAAGCCTATGTTTACATGTCACTGAGCACACCTTACCCTCTTTGGATCAAATCCTACAAGTACCTTCGCCTCCATGTCACAGTCTCCCACATCCCAGGGATCCCTTCTGAATGTCCCTCAAGTTCTCCACAGCCACCTCTGATGTAGGGGGTGATAGGCAAGTTCTGACCCCTTTGCAGTTCTGCACAGTTCCTGGTTTTTCCCCTGGCCCTAGACCTTCCCTGTTTGGGTTTGAGATGTTTTCCACCCTTTTTTTCTAGGGGGCTCTAGATCTTTGTGTATCTCTGTGCTGCTTATCTCTGCCAGTTCTTTAAATGGTCAAAGCCTTATTTAAGTGGAGACATTATAAGCTCCAGATCACTGTCATAGATACCAGATAACACTGGGCCAGGAACAACACTTCAGAAAAATCCTTAGGTACTTCAGTGAAAATAAATTCCCGGAGGGACCTATGTGATGTGGCTGCTGTGAAATGGATGCAACCTTGGGCTATATTAAGAGCATATTCTCTAGAACAGAGGCACAGCTGGCTGGCCACACCACAAATGGCCTGCCACATTCGTGTTCTGGGCTACAAGTCAGGCACAGCACAGGCTTGACTTCAGAGGGCACTATCCAGATGATGATGGAACCCGACACTAAAATACATGAGAAGTAGAAGACACAATGAGATGTGTTTGTGAAAGAGGAGAGAAGAAGTGGGGAACATGCAATTTTTAAAATATTGACAGGATAGTCACAAGGAAGGAAAATAACAGTTATATACAACAAATACCAAAATGGCTTGTGTTCTTTCAACACTCACTGTTTAAATAGGTCCTATGCCTTCATCATTTGTTCTACCAACAACCCTCTAGAGTAAGTGCTGTCATTGTTACCCATTTTACAAATGAGTAAACTGAGACCCAGATGGGGTGTGATAAGTAGTCCAAGGTCATATAACTAATCCATTTCAGAGCTGAGATACATATGCAAGAACTTTAATTAATGAGCCTGCAATCTTTACCACTACTCATCACATTTACCTTTTGATGGCCAAAGAATACAAATAGGACTAAGAAGAGTCAGAGATGGAATTTAGTTTTATTGAAGAAAGGACTGTCTTACAATAAGAATTGGCCAAATAGGAAATTAAATGCCCCACTACATCTTGAACTCTTCATCACAGGAGATTATCAAGCATAGACCAAAATCCTCCAGCAATTATTGAATTATTGGAGATGATGGGGGATAGGGGAGCGGATCATTGGAGATGATCCAAGCTTAAGACAGAGGAGGATTTAATTTGTTAACTTTAAGGTTTTTCCATCCCTGAGAAAGCTGGAATCCCATGACTAACCCTGAGGAACAGCATGCAGAATCTCATACCACATCTGGGCCCTTCAGCACCCCATCACTATAGTCAAGTATTTGAAAACCATTTTAGTTTCTTCATCCCAGATCAGGTTATTATGAATTGGTCTAGATTATAAAGTTTATGAATAACTTGTGGCACTCTTACACAAAGCAACCCCTATGATAGTCTCCTAAAGCTTCCTCCCTTGTCCTGCTGGAAGTTGGTGAAATCTTTATGAAATATTTTTAGGAAAAGAATACACACCTGCAAACCACCATTTAACATGCCTGTGCTTCAGGATATTTCTGTAATTCCTGTTCCTCCACCCTCATTAACTGATTAACTCTGCAGGCATTGTGGTGATTGGATGCCTGGAAGACATCATGTCTCTGTCTCCGGGCCTTTGCACATGCTATTCTCTTCATCTGGAACACTCTCAGCTCCCCATCCCCTTCATCTGGCTGACTCTAACTCAATAACTTGGGCATAAAGTCTCCTTGAAAGCATCTCTGACAATCTCCTGGCCAACCTACCCCATCTCATGGCTGTGTGAGGTACTCTGCCTGACCATCCCCACAGCAATCATGATGTAGCTGCATTATAATTACCTGTTTACTTGCTTCTTACAATCACCAGGCAGTAAGCTACCAAAAAGCAGTTCACTACTGTATCTCTAGCATTTAGAAAGGCACCTAATACATTGTGGATATTCCAGCCATGTCTAGCATCCACTTGAATGAAAGCATTTGGTCCATGGAGAGATATTCTTATAAATAGATCTTACCATGGAACCAATCTGTTTGGTAGATAATTAGCTGTCGTTTTGTAAAGCAGAGAGACAGACCAGCAAATGAAGCCCAAAAGAAAAAAGTTTTGAGGATGAAAGGTGCTAAAAACAAACGTTGCCTCAATAGCATCTCACTCAAACTAGCTATGATCAGAAATGGAAAGTCACAATTTCTATGCCATTATTCATGAAACACAGAGCTTTGATAGGTTATCATAGTCACCGGGATTTATCTGATCCTTAAGGTCAGTGACAGGAATGTCAACCACAGCCCCAAAGCCATCGACCAGTGAGGCACAGTTAATTTCTGTGAATTTTAAGTTTTTCCTGTTATTCTGTCTTGTTTTTAAGTTTTCTTGCTTCATATTTTATAGTCTTGATCATTTTTAAAAGAAAAAAATCTTTTTAAGTTTTCAAGATCTCTGTCTTTTGATATGTCCTAGTCTTAAATTTTCTCTAAATATAGATTTGTTCATTTACAGTTATAGGCTCAATGGCAGGAAATGTCATTTTACTCTTACCCTTAGTTGATCTAAAATTTTCACTTCCTTTAAAAGTCTTAACTTCTCCTTTTCTGCATTAGCTTTTGTTTAAACTCCTCATAATTTTCCTAAATTCCCTTCTGTACATTCCCTATGAAGGTCTATGTCCTGTCTCTCACCAGTCTGATGGACCAGGGGAAATGTACCTAAGTATCTACAGATTTACAAGCAAGAGTAATTTGTTTATTCTGCATGCTTTCTTTTAAAATGTCTATTTTGACACACAAATATGTAAAGAAAGAAAGAAAGAAAGAAAGAAAGAAAGAAAGAAAGAAAGAGAGAAAGAAAGAAAGAAAGAAAGAAAGAAAGAAAGAAAGGCATAAACAATTACATTTGTCATTATAGACTTATACATAATTTTGAACCAGAGTTCTCTATCTGTATCTAAGCTAAGAAAATCAGGTATTGCTGCTAGTTCAATGATTAGCAAAAGTAATATTCTCAAGGTAAAGTACTTTGTCAACCATTAAATACAAAATAAGTCACAAAACTATGCAAAATGTAACATTCCTCCAAATTGAGCTACAGATGAACACAACTGACTACTAACAAAACAATTCGCTATCTAGCTGACCCAAGTCACTGTGTTGTTTTAAACTGAACGAATGCATATGCAATAAAAACAAAATAATTAAGTAATTTGTCTAGACTCTACTGTTCAGCTCTGACCTTCTCCTCACATTAGCCATTTTGCCATTTAGATGCACCAAAGGCAAGGGAGTCACTTTCATCAATAAGCATGTTTGCAAGTTACCCCCTACTCCTTTGTAAATTATTCTTTTTTTTAAATTAGATTACCTTTAGCCAGCACCTACATTCACCTTTGACATATTAAGAGACTGAGAGAATCCCAGGCACACCTAAACACATCACCTGACCTACTCTTGTTGTCACAATGTTTTGGATTATTTGCATACTTGGAATGACAAGCAAATACATCATTTGTCATTCATACTTTACCAATTAAAGAGAGTGAATCTGTAGATAGCTATTTACTGCCTACAGAATACATTTCTGCAAAAATTGAATTTAGCCAGTACTGATATTGTGAAAATTCCATATGTGACAAGAGCAAAAAATTCACCTTTCAAAAATATTTATTAAAGACAAAATTTTGCCGAAACCGGTTTGGCTCAATGGATAGAGCATCGGCTTGGGGACTGAAGGGACCCAGGTTCGATTCCGGTCAAGGGCATGTACTTTGGTTGCGGGCATATCCCCAGTAGGGGGTGTGCAAGAGGCAGCTGATCAATGACTCTCTCATCGATGTTTCTAACTCTCTATCTCTCTCCCTTCCTCTCTGTACAAAATCAATAAAATATATTTTAAAAATAAATAAATAAATAAATAAAATAAAATAAAGACAAAATTTTTATTTCCCTCTCAGAAAAAGGATTCTCATTAAACCTTTCTCTTCTGCCTAAATGATGAAGGAGCTTTTTAATGAATTGTTAAATTAAAAGACACTCTTCTTCATTCCTTTTTTGTAGAACTATACTACTAAAAATTGTTTAAGTGGAACTTTTAGTGAAGATTCTTTTTGTACCTTCAACATGAAGATTCTTATAGATACTACATTTAAAAAAAAAAAAATCATACCTGGCAGCCAGTCTAACCCAAATTCAAATGCCACTCTCCATTAAACCAAGCTGTAGCACTCATTTGATCAGGGGGAAAAAACATACCATATTTAATAAAATTCCCGATTCTTGTCGTCGGTGTCCATAAAAACGCTTTGCAGTATTGGATATATGGTTTGCAAAAGCAAGCAAATCCTCCACAGTTCCATATCTGACTGATGACAGCCATGGCACATCTTGGCCACTGAGCAGCAGGGACTCTGAATTTTCCTCATTTTGATTGCTGTCTTGACACATGGTCATTAGACTGGGTTTGTAAACCGCTGGCTCCTCACTTGCGTAAAGATTTTCCATAATGTCTATTACATCAGAGACATTCAAATGTTCAATTAATAAATCAATTTCTTCTTTATTGTCGCTTCCAGTGCTCATGTACTCCATTACTGTTGTGCTTTTCAGAGAGTCTGCAAAAGAAAACAAATATTGTGTTTATTATATTTGTATTAGCATTTGAAATCAATGGGCTTCTATACGCCTTTGTTTAAAAAATGAGGGCTCTGTGACTATAGATGTGTGAATTTAAGTGGACAGAGAAAGGGACCTTAGATAACCTTTAGTCCAGCTTGCTGGCTTGCAGAGGGGAAACCTGAGATCCAAACAGCTTATTCCTTACTCACTTACTGAGTTAGTGGCATCAGCCATAGCCACTGAAAACAAACTTTCACTAAACATAAACAGGAATAAGAGCAGCTCAGGAATCCTGGGAATTAAGGCTCCTGGTTTTTTACAGCTTCCAACCCAGCTACTCCCCCATGGGGCAATCTTCCAGCATGGTCTCTGTGGCTTTTATGCATCAGGTGCCCTCAAAGAAAAAGAACTACGCTACCAACTAAAATTCAGGCCCTTAAGCCAGAAGCATGTAAAATAGATTTAAATTTAAGCAAATTGATGATAGTAGGTCAAGTTTCAGGGATAATTCTAATGCAAATCACTTAAACGGCTCATTCACACATGGGTCAATCCTCAAATCTTCCTTCTGTCAGCAATGAGTCTGAGAAAGGGGAAGAAGATTCTTTAATCTGTGAATCAGCTGTCCTCTCTTTTCTTTTTTTCAGCTGTTCTTTCTAGAGACCAGAATTTTTTAAATTTTATTTTATTGTTTAAAGTATTACAAATAGTAGTATATATCTCTCCTTTTTTCCCCCCCATTGACCTCCCTCAGGCCTCCCCCATTCCCCCCCAACACAAACACACATGCCCTCATCTCTCCACCCGTGTCTTGCATCCATTGGTTATGCTTATATGCATACATACAAATCCTTTGTTTGATCTTTAACCTCCACAATCCTCCCCAGCCTTCCCACTGTTAATCTGACAGTCTGTTTGATGCTTTTTTGCCTCTGTTATCTATTTTTGTTCATCAGTTTTGTTCATCTTTATATTCCACAAATGAGTGAGGTGGTATTTATCTTTCACTGACTGGCTTAAAGACCAGGATTTTTTAATAGTACAAAGCATACATCATAAAGTTCTAAGAAGGTTAATTTAATATCTAGATTAATGGCCCTCTAGACATTGTGATCTTACAAAGAGGCCAGGAAAGCCAAATTTATCATAAGCAAGACCTGAGTAAGGCCAACTGACTATATTAGCCACTACTGTATTTCATTTCTTATATACAAATCAGGTGCTACACCTGGGGATCTGCAAATGAGAAAAGGAAAATCAATAATGCTCAAGATTTTAATTCTATTCCAGGGAATTAAAGATAAAAATGTTTCAGAGACTTAAGAGAATTTGGAGGTCTGTATGTCTACTTAAGCTACCGTGTTCCTGAAAGCACAGCCTCTCTCTAAAGAGCACAAGCCTTTAACACATTCTACACTCAGTACAAAACGGCCATACTTCCTTAACCTGGAGCTCCAGTAGAAGATGCCAGGAAATCTTCCACAGGCAACTCACCACCCAGCTACTTGGGCTCTCAGTGAATTTCATTTCAGAAAAGACCACGAAATGTACAGATGATGTATTACAGAATTGCACACTTGAAACCCAGATAGTTTTATTAACTAACTAGAGGTCCGTTGCACAAAATTTTGCACGGGGGAAAGGAGCGTCCCTTCAGCCCAGCCTGCACCCTCTCCAATCCTGGACTCCTCCGGGACACAATCCGGGACCGCTGGCTCCTAACCATCTCCTGCCTGCCTGCATGATCACCCCCTAACTGGCCCCCTGCCGGCCTAGTCACCCCTTACTGCTCCCCTCCCCCACCAGCCTAGTCACCCCAACTGCCCTTTGCTGGCCTGGTCGCCCCTAACTGCCAACCTCCAATGACCTGGTCACCCCTAACTGCCCCTCTGCTGGCCTGGTTGCCCCATGCAGTCTGCTGTTCAGTCGTTTGGTCATCCCTCACTAACCCCCCTGCCAACCTTGTTGCCCCACACAGACTGTGTTCAATTGTCCGTCCAGTTGTTTTGGTCATGACGCCCACTGGCTTTTTATATATTAGGATATCATCCCAATAACTTTAATAAAAAAAGAAAAAAAGAAAAGAACCACACAATTTTTCTTTTTCATTAACTTACTTCACATTCATTTTCTGTTATATGAATTTGTGGTAGGCAGTTAGAGAAGTTCAGAGCAAGGATGATACAGGTCACCAGAGTAGAGAGCCTCACTTGCCTAACAATAGGCAAAACTGGGAAAACTCAAGTACTGAGGTTGCTGAACCAAGGTCCCTATCAGTCTAACACCTGGTGTCATTCTCTCTACTACCAACAAATTATGCCTTAAGAAAGAAAGCAGCATCCTGCAGTCTGACATTCTATCTAGACTCACACTCTTGGTATCAACTATTGGCCCTTCTTTTATTGTCTGCATGATCTTGGGCTAATACTTTAGCCTCTCTGTATCTCAGCTCCCCCATTTGTTAAATGGAATCATAACAGCACCTACCTCATAAGATGGCTGTGAGGATTAAAGGAGCTCAAGTGCATAAGGTGCTTGGTGCAAAGTCGGGTGCACAGTAAATAAGCTGTATCATTTGTAAGTGCTATTGTGTGCATAAAAGACACAAGGACTGATTCAGCCACCTGGCTTTGCAGATATTGCATTAGGCCTCCTTTCTTATCAGCAAATGGTTTGTGGCTACCTAGTCCCCAGCTTCTTCACAGAAAGGTTGTAAAGATTATATCTAAAACAAAAGACAAAGAAAAAAAAGGCAGAAACCTATGAAATACTTTAATGGTTGTTACCACCACAGTTACATCCAGAAAGCAAAGGAAGTCTCCTCTCAGAGAGATCTTGCAAAAGCTTGGAGTCTGTTGAGTTCTAAAAGGATTTCTATGGTTAAGGGAGGAACATTGGCCTTAGGTTTCATCGAGCCATTTAGTTGCAGTTTCTACTTGTAGAATTTACTGAAAAACAGAAGTTAAGACGAAAATAGCCTGACTTGGGACCTCACTGGCTGGAAAGTTTCAAGGCTGCTGGATTTACTTATCAAATGGCTGACTTGAGAGAAAATAAAGTTCTCAAGAGTAATGTGACTCAAGAAAGAGAAGAAAAGGTCTATACAGTTTACTAGCCAGTCAGCAGATCCAAAGAGGAAACACAGGTTATGGTTTTTAAATCCTGCAGAAAGTCTCAAGTATTTATATGTAAAACCTAAGGCAGAGGTTAAATACATATACCCTTAAATTTCATGGTGGAGGCAGAGCAGAATAAGAGGTGGGGGGAGGAAAGCAGGGTAAGAGGCAGAGGGGGTGGAGGAATGTATGACTGAGACTGTTTTTGGAGCCAGGCATAATTCCTTAGCAATGCAGGACTCTTCTCACGCAAACCAGTGCTCCCTAGGCAACCCCAATGACCAGTCCACCCACAAAATACCCCTGCAAAAAGCCTCAGCACTTTCAAGCCTAAATTAGGCAGATAATATGCTAATGATTTCTAAGTTATTCATGATCAGTACCCACGTAGAAAATGTAGATTGTGAAGGTATTCCACTTTAGCAATCAAGACCCTTCTTCACACAGTTCACAATAAAAATCCTCATAAAATTCCTACTTCTTATCAAAGTAGACAACTATGCCACATTTAGAAATGGAAAGATGAACAAATACAGACAAAATTATTTGCTTCAGATTATTTCAGGAATCATCCATAAGGCCAAAAGGAAATCCTATTTTTAAACATTAATGTCATGGCTACTTGCATAGTTAAGGGTTTCCTCACAAGTGTGAATGAAAATGGCTAAGTTTATGGGCATCACGTCTGCCTAACAAAAGATGATCATACCTGAGTTGCTTCCCATTTAAAAGATTTCTCTGCCAAACTAGCACATTGGCAGAGAAATTTAAGCCACAGAATGACGCGGTTTGGTTATATAGAAGCACAGCCACGCCGAGACCGGTTTGGCTCAATGGATAGAGCATCGGCTTGGGGACTGAAGGGTCCCGGGTTCGATTCCGGTCAAGGGCATGTGCCTTGGTTGCAGGCATATCTCCAGTGGGGGGTGTGCAAGAGGCAGCTGATCGATGACTCTCTCTCATCGATGTTTCTAACTCTCTATCTCTCTCCCTTCCTCTCTGTACAAAATCAATAAAATATATTTAAAAAAAAAAAAAAGCACAGCCACTCTGCTTCAAAATCTCTAATGCATCAACCACCTTCCAGAACTGTTGCATACTTACAGTCCATTAGTATTGGGGGCTTCTGGTGGAATCAGATTATATTCTCCTTGGCAAATACCTGAGATTTAGGCCACAGACATGTAAAGCAATTGTATGTATGTTTCTTTCCCTGTTCTCCCTGATCCTCTCCCCCCCCCCCCCCCCCCCCCCCACACACACACTCACTCACTCAGTGCCACTCTCCCTGGCCTTTTATTCTGGATCAATGTACAGTATGCTTTTCCAAAAGTGAAATAGACATTGCAATATTTCATTTAAAGACAGCTGTGGCCTTCCCTATCAACTTTTGGGATAAACTCTGTGCAAGCCGTGCTGCCTTCTAAGCATTGCTCTCCGCCCAGAACTAGAAGAATTTCGAGGTACTGGGATCGCATTACCACCGGGAAACATTTGTGAGATAACTTTTTTCCTTCCTAATAATATTCTTAGACCAAAAGCCTGGCATTCGTGTTCTGCTATACCCTTTCTTTGCCGAGTTATAAGCACGGAATTAAGTTTCAGCCCTTCAAACTGCTCTCTGCTCCGCCACCCTCACCCCCACTCCCTTTCCTCACGACTAAAGGAGCTTTTAAAGGGTTTTGCAAATAGAAAAGCGCCCATCACTGGGGCGATGGCAGCGGGGCCCGCAGCTCCGAGGTGCACTCACCGGGTCTGGCCGGGAAGAGCGCGGCGGTCGGGAGGCAGGAGCGGCGGAGAGAGGCGGCTATCTGTACCAGCGCCCCGCGCACTGCCCGCCCAGCCGCACGGAGCCGGAATCCGGGAAAGGGGGAGGAGGAGGAGGAGGAGGAAGGGGGCGGAGCGCGAGCTGCCCCGGAGCCCGTTGCGCAAGGTGCTTTCCAGCGGCCACAGCAACTGCGACCGGCGGCGACAAGCGCGGAAGCGCAGCCCTGGGGGCGGCCCGCACGCCCTCACCGCCCAGCCCGGGAGCTGCAGCCCCGCCGGGGACACCCTCCCTTTCAGGATGTGGACCGCTGAGGCTCCCCGGGGGGCTGAGGTCAGAAAGACACTGCCGAGCCCCCAACACTGAGTTACCTGCGGCCTCCGCTCTCCCCCGCAGGCCGGGCGCTCCGGCTACGTCCCCGAAGGCGCGGGCGCAGCGGGTGGCCGGCCCTCCCGAGCCCGGGGCGCTGGGGCCCGGAGGTCCGGCGGCGGCGGCAGAGGCTGGAGCTGGGCGCGGCTCGGGGGCCAGGTGCGCCGTGGACACCGGAGCGGACAAGGAGCCCAGGCGTCCTCGGTGGCCCCGGACTCGCGGCGTCTGACCGGCCCAGTGGCTGCGCGTGTGCTAGCCACCGCCTCCCCGCCCTTTCCATTTCCCCTTTCTCTCCGTAAACAGAAAGGACTGCGGGGAAGCCAGAGCCCCCGCCTGGGAAATTCCGTACCCTCCCCGCCTTTTTTGCCCTCGGGGACCCGGGCGGAGCTGAAGTCGCGATGTGGGAGGAGCGAGCATTGCTCGGAGTGGGGTGAGCCCGGAGCGCCGGGTCGGGATGCACCGCACCGGCCACCTAGGGGTCAGGGCCTGCGACACCTGAGTTTTCCCTGGGACCTGATTGGGGGCGCCCCGATGGCGGAGTTATAAAGCACCACGGTCCCCGCACCCCTTGGTCCCTGGAAGAAGATGTATAAGCCAATGAGCCCTCGGGCTGACTCCTGTGTCCTAGGCCCTGGCCCTCCCCGCCCCGCGCCCCTGGGGGACAGAGAGTGGCCAGCTGTCTGCCTTCTCTGACCCCGTCCAGATTTTGGCTCAGGTACACACACACACACACACACTCACTCAGTGCCACTCTCCCTGGTCCACACACACACACACACACACTCACTCACTTAGTGCCACTCTCCCTGGTCCACACACACACACACACACACACACACACACTCACTCACTCAGTGCCACTCTCCCTGGTCCACACACACACACACACACACACACTCACTCACTCAGTGCCACTCTCCCTGGTCCACACACACACACACACACACACTCACTCACTCAGTGCCACTCTCCCTGGTCCACACACACACACACACACACACATACACTCACTCACTCAGTGCCACTCTCCCTGGTCCACACACACACACACACACACACACACACACTCACTCAGTGCCACTCTCCCTGGTCCTCTCCCCACTCCCACACTCACTCAGTGCCTCTCTCCCTGGTGCACACACACACTCGGGCTGAAAGGGTGTTAAAGGCTGCGGCAGGCTGGGCGGGCACCTCGGGGACAAGCACCTGAAGGGGGCTGGTGTTCTCCTCCAGAAAAACCTGGTTTGGTTCCTTATTGGACCTGGTTATTTTATGTTACTGCCCATTACGGAGTGTGCCAACTGGTCTCCCCCTCCTCTTCCCAGCTGTGAGTCCAGCATTCTCTGTCCTGCTCAGAAAGAAGATCAGAGATAGTTTATAGTGCTCTCCTCTGGAGTAGGAAGCTTGGAGCCAGAAGAAAGATCTAGGGAATTAGCTCCTCTCTCCCCAAGTCCACTGGGTGGGACAGTCCCAATACTCACTGAGCCGCACCCCCCGCTCCCCCCCCCCCCCCAATACTGCCTTAGTGTCAAAAAGCACCTGCTGTGACAGACATTTGGCGATTTGGCGAGACAGCCCAGAGGAAAAGAGGCAGGCATCCCCTCCGCCTGACCCCGGGGACCTGGGCGTGCCAGGTAGAGCCCAGACTCAAAGCCCCCTCCACTGTGAGTCCACACCCTGCCCTTTCCTGAACCCAAGCTCATTCAAAACTGCCTCAAACTGGCTCTAGGGCACTCTGTTCTATCCGAAAGTGAATTGTTATTCTGACCCCAGGAAGTCACATGAGACCTGGGCTAGCCAAAAAGAGAAGCAAGGCCCTCCTTGTAGGATCTTTACACTCATTTCCTAGTGCTTAGGGGCAGGCACAGAGGATGACAGCACAGGGGTTAAAAGAGAGCCCAAAGCCAGAAGAACTGAATGGATTACTACGTGCTAAATCTCCACCGCCTCCCCCAATTGTTTTAAATACTAGAATGCTGGGACACGAATAACCCAAGATGTGTTCCAGCCCTGGAACTCTGCGGGGGATCTGGCCCCGGAGGAGAAGCCCTTCTCGGGAATTGCCTCTGGTTCTGGAGAGAGTGAGCACTCCTTAGACTAGGGGTGTCGAACTCAATCAGAGAAGGGGCCAAAATCTAAAATCCAGCCTAAATCGCGGGAAGAATGGTTTACTGAACAGTCATAAACTGTCATTGTGATGGAAACGCAGCGGAGTGCAGTGATGACAGCGCGGTGCGGGCCACATTGCAAGGCCTGGCGGGACGGATTTGGCCCGCGGGCCTTGTGTTTGACACATGTGCCTTAGACCGTTCCTGAGGGTCTAACTGGGCAGGGGCAGCTTGCCCAGAAAGGGAGGCGACGGCTGGTCTGGACCAGGACTCCGTGGAATATGACCCTGTCTCAAGAGCAGATGATCCCAGTTTTGACTGGAAGTGACGTTTGAACGCCTTTTTCTCTGTAAACCAGGTTGGCCAGGTCGCTATCTTTAATGATAACTATCGTGAGACAAGTCTCTCCATCATCGCTTGGTTGTATTTGAGCAACAAAGGATGATCTTATCCAAAGCATTTTAAAAATAGCAACATGGGACCATCCCTGCCCCAGCCCACTGAATGAGATCACTAAACCACACCTCATCTTCTGAGAATTAAGTATCAGCCTGACTTCCTACATAGAGGTCTCCCAAGGAGCTCTATTTTAGGGAGCTGGTGAGAAGGCTGCTCCAGCCGGGTTCTCGCTGGCTGTTGAGGACTTACACAATAGCAGATTTCATCTAGCAAGATGAATTAAGAGGTGTTACTCAAAAACATTTTTAAACCCCAAGATTGGATCTGATGCTCAGAAGAGGCTGAAAAGAGAGAACTAAAAATGGAGAAAAAGTTTGCAGACTGCTTGCATTTTTCTTGATCAGTTTTGTTGACATGGGCTTACAAAAGCGATCCTGTTCTTTCAAAAGCTAGCAAAGTGAGGTTCAAAGTGGCCAATTAGAAGCCACCTGAGCCAGAGTGCACAGCAGAATGAGTTACTCAAGAAGTAATTGTAAAGTGCATTACAAAACAGCTCTCTGGAAGCTGTTCCCAGGAAACAAGATGCACTTTAGAGTAAATTGTAACTAGTGCCAGTTTACTTGGAGAGACTTTCTCCACCTACAGGTAGGGACAATAATGGGTTTGTAATCTGTAGTTTGGAAATCAGGATTTATTTACTCATGGAATGAATGGCAGGCTGCCTGGACAGTGCATTGGCCTATGGAACCACAAATGGGACACTATGTTAATAATTATAACATAGGACATTGCTTTCCAATCTTTTTCATATTTGTAAAATATAGTGTTTTAGAGAATCCTGAGATAAATTGGAATAAATTAGGGTAGACATATTGTGGGTTGGTGAAAAAAATGTGTTTAATTTTCTTAAATTATAATAATAAAATGCAAAGTATTTGAGGAAGATAATAAATACTGAGTTTTAATAAAGCTTTAAATAAGATATTTTTATTTGTGTGCTTTCTTTTTTAATCCTCACCTGAGGATTTTTCCATTGATTTTTAGGGTGAGTGGAGGAGGGAAAAATAGAAAGAAACACCATTTGGTTGCCTCA